AGGGCTCCTGGTGGCAGCTGTGGCAGAGGCTGAGCTGGTGTATACCCAGGGACGTAGAGCACTGGGAAGGCTCTGCAGTATTTGCAGAGTTGGCAGGAGCAGGACTAGATCTGTGTAACATTGTACTCAGCCCAGTTAGCCCTGAGGTGGTTTCCCTTTTGAATGTCTTCAAGGCTTTGCTTCCTTAAGCATCTGCAGTATGTGGCTGAGGTACCTGCATTTTGGGTTTGCTGGTGGCAACAGCTCAGCTCCTCCCAGCACTACGTTGAGCAAAGTGGAAAGAGAGCAGATGACCTGTCAAATCGTTTCACATCAAAACCACGTTGTCTTTACGCATTTGTATTGGGTGGGCTTAGATGCAAAGACCCTGTCCAAGTGGTAAGAGTACAGTACAATTTGCAGTCCAGGGGCTTGTGCCAGACTGCTGCATTCATCAGCCAAAGTGTTGATTGCTCTTTATGCAGAGCACTGATATACATATTACAAAGTGATCCTGCTAATATATGCTTTGAATCTAAAATGAGCAGTGAAACAGTCCCTGCAAACATGGATGTGCTGTTCATGAATGATGTATGCTGAGGCCAGCAGAGCACCAGACTTGCTTTGATTACAGCTCTGTATGACGTTGCTGGCAGAGATGTAAAACCACTGTGTTCTGTCTTTTGAGCTCCGTAGCCTCATTAAGAAATTAAAACATTTTTGGGTCTTTCAGGTAGTCTTTCTCCCCCTGGGATGGTTAAGTTAGCTGACTGTCAGCATGGCGATGCAGATTGTTAAGGTTCAGAGATTTATCTTGATGGTATGGCGGCCTGTTCCATTTCGACTGCAATCCAAGGCTCATTTTTCCTCTGAGGCAGTCATTGAAATTCAGTGCACGATTTGTTCCTCTGATTGTTTAACAATGTCTCTCATGTTTGCCCTGATTTTAAAAATCCTCCGTTGTAGCAGAGATAACATAGAGCAGGATGATATAATTGCAGTAAAGAGGCCCTGGAGCTTGCAGTAATAGGATGGTTCATCTGATGTGTTCTGCCATTAGGAAATAACCCACGTATGTATGTTCCCAGGGGACAGTAAAGAGGCTTTTAAGGATTACACTTTATGTAGTATGAAAGCTAATGAGCAAAAGAGCAAGTATGAAGAAAACTATTGCTGCAGAAAGCATAGTACCACTTGTTTCCTGACACCTTTGTAGCTCCAAAACATCCATCTCTGCCCAGCAATGCATGGCTTTTTGTGCACTGCAGTTGGTTCCCAGGACTTTCGGAACACTGTATTATTTTCATTTCAGTGAAAAATAAATAGCATGTCAAAAGCATGGCAGAGCTGAGCTGAGGATTGAAACTGATGCATACGTACAAAATAAATTATTTGGGGGGAATAGCATTATCTGATAGTCTGTGCCCTCAAAAAAATAAAAAAGATTTGCTAAAATGATATCGTTTCATGAAAGGTTGACATACTAAGACTTACCAGTTAGGCAGAGCTTCAGTTCTCCCATCTTCATTCTTTTCCTGGCCAATGTGCAAAACATATGAAGACACCAACACACAGTAAACACTGAAGCATTCATTTCAAATGTTAAGTGGCCTGCAGAGTCAGAGATGCAAAATTTGGACTGTGGAGGTACGAAATTCACAGCATCTGATTTCTGCTATTAACAACTTCTTGTTCAAATGGATTGCCACACAGAGTGCCAGTTCTTTCCCCTTGCATTAGTGCTGAAATAGAAGCTGGACTGAGCAGAATGGACTTGGGCTTCTTTTTTTTCTTTTTTCCTTTTTTTCTTTTTTCCCCATAGCATTTTCCCCTTGTTTATAGAGCTTGTTGTGGATAAAGAAATTAATTCACCTTTTAATACTCTGTACCCTGTCTGTGCTGCTGGAGTATATTTTTGTGCCGTGTCAGGTTTTTATGTTCAATGGAATGGACGAACTTGCATCTTTCTTCATATAAGTAGCACAGTAAAGGGTCAGACTTTACGATCAGGTAAAGTGAAGTGGCTTCACTTGAGTTTTAGAGACTTAAAGAGGATGCTGGATTTTGACCAGATGTTGTACTGGGGTTCTGCAGCAAGGTCTAGTATCTTAGTTGTATTCTGAAAGGTACTGATAAATTAAGAAGAAGTCCATGAATATTAAGTGAGGAAGAGAGGAGAGCCAGTATCTTTTCAAGGACAGAAGCAGAACAGTAACCTTCTAAAACATCGTTTCCACCCATGAGCCAAGGGAGCAAATGGTCAAGAGATGACATTACCTCCATCTGGGCCAAATAAGTAACTTTATTTCCCTTAAATGCAAAGAAGGTTCAGAGACAATGTGATCAAATTATTTTGTTAATACCTTTTTGCTCCCAGCTAATCACATTTGAAGTGTGGAAGTGTGTTAGAGTGCATGTGAAGTATTTTTGAGGGGGTTGTATTGAGGCCCCTTTGTGTGGTCAGAGCATTGTAGGAGAGAAGTCTTCTCCTGACTCAGAGGCGTAAGCAGGTCTCCTCATATTGGGATGGGGGTGATGGGTGCACGTGCCCTCTAAGCAGGAGAGTCCTTGAGGAACAATAAGATTGTTAAAATAATAATTCATGGCCCAGTCAACTGCAGCTTTTAACCCATCCCATTTGTGTGTTCCTACACCTGAAACACGGAGCTGTTGTGCCATGTACTAAGCACTGTTTGCTAATACTGAGGAGGTTTTCAGCACAAAGGTGCATGGTGCATGTTGCTGTAATGCCTCCATGTGCTGATGCCTGCATGTTCAGCGTAAGGGTAGATTCTTTGTCTTTTCCATAACTTTTTTTTTTTTTTTTCTATTTGATAGTTATGTCTGTGTTTGGCAATAAATTTGTCTTGTTTGAAGAATATGGAACACCAGGCTGAGGTGAAGAGACAGCTGTGTGTTCAAACATACAGCAGAGCCTCAGCAGTGGTCTGACAGAAATAATGGCAATGCAGCTAAATTAACTAGAGATAACAGAAGAGCTTCTCTCTGCTCAACCCCCAGGGCTGGCTGGCTGTCTCTGCAGAGCACCTGTCCACCATCTTGTGCCGGTGTATCATGCTCCAACTCTGTAAGCCCAGATCCAATATTTGATTGCATTCCCCAACTTAGTGTCACTTGATCCCTAGTCCACCATCAATCTGTCGTTCATTACACCACATGGGACTTACTTTGACAGCCACAAGTGACATGGGATGATTTATCACTTACTGCTTCTGTCAGTTGACTCCTCTCTGCTTAAACTTCCAGTCTTGCAAATACCAGAATAGAAGTGATAAATTTTTTATTTCTGTCCTTTCTCCCCCCTCCCCTTCATAATTGGTGTATGAGAGCAGAAGAGGACTTGCAATTTTATTATTGCTGGATAAGCCTTTTGTAAACTCAGTTACAGCACTTCTGATGTCAGTAATTTTTGTGCCTAAAAAATACGCTGACACTGTGTTTGCACATTGGAAAAGAGCGAATTTGAATGTATAATAATCTGGTGCATTTGGAAGATGTTTGATGCTATATCCCAGCCAAGTTACTCACTCATGGAAATTCTTTTGTTATTACTATTTTTCTCAGTTGACTGGAGATGTTAATCTCCTATCTGTGGAAAGGCATCTTTAATGCTAAAACATTGATCAGAGATACCCAGCGTTTCTCTGGCATCAGAGTTTGAAGGAAACCTCTCAGTTGACAATACACCAGCAGAAACAGAGACATTTGCTACTTTATTTTTCTTACGTAATGAAGAAATAGCCAGGTGATGATTTCCAATTCATGAAGTATATTGTACCATGCACTGTATTCATGAATATAAATTGAGCAGACGTGACACGCGTTTCATATTAAAATAATGCAGTGTTGCTCCTTCTGATAATTCTTCTTTGCCTGAAATATGCTTATTCTGAGAATATCACTGCAGAGTTAATAGTGCACTGCATAACTGCATGTTAAAAAGTGTGAATGCTAAAGGACATAGAATGTCTTACAGATAAATTATTCATAGATTGATAATGGCAGTGGCTAGCTACATTTTTCAAGGACAGTATCTTTCTGCATCTGCCTTTCCTTTCCCACTTTTTTCTGAAAATCCTTCATCTCTAAATTGTAGCTTCACCCAGCCAGCCCGCTTCCGTTCGGCAAGGCTCATTCTCAGGCTTGATCATGTTGCTGCCAAGCAGCGCATCACTCACACTTCCCTTCCCATCCGTTCTTCTGCCTCATTTCTCAAGTAGTCCTAGAGGAGCCATCCCAGCAGAAGAGCTGCAATGTTGTGGTGACTTTGAACTCAGAGCCAATTGCAGGTTAAAGCAGAGGCATCAGCTTCTCATCTCTGTGCAGTCACTTGTGTGTCAGCAGCATTCCCACCAAGCTACGAGGTGTAGCAGAAACTTCCTATTTTACGATTTTCCTCTTTTGCCAAACATAAAACTGGTAGGGTGGAATATGACTTTTAATATGCTCTAATGGTATAAAAAGCCTTGCAAGCAGGAGCCAGTGTGTATACAGATGTTCTTCTTGATTAAATAAAGCCTTTTCTGTTTACATCGTGCTGGGGAGCTGCATTACAAGAAAGGTAAGAGGGTAAAATAAGAAACGTGACCTGAAAGAAAACTACCAGATTAGACTGTGAAGGCAAAAATACTGGTGTCCTTGAAGTCAGTGGGAGTTTTGCCTCTAAGGAAGTAGCCAGAAGCCAGCAGCACCCTGTGTCTGTTCAGGGCTTTCCAGTCCTGGATTGTGGTCAGGCATCCCCTCAAGGTGGTCTCTGCCACAGGGTTGAAGAGCATGAGAGCAGTGCACTGCCTACGCATGTTACCCTGCCAGGACTGTCAACTCACAACATTTGTTAATTCTCCCTCAGTTTTCATTTCCAGTAATGCTTCTCTAGATACTGAGCAACTTTTTGACAAGTGTGAGCAGAAGTGATGGGTTCATATGCTGTTCCTTACAGCAGTTTTAATTTTGCCCCTGCAAGTGACAGAGTATTTAAAAAGACGTCTTTCTTCTTCCAGGTTACCAGCCTGTCCTGCCGAACCAGCAGCAGGGGTTCCAGGGTCTCATGGGAATGCAGCAGCCGCCCCAAAGCCAGAACCTGATGAATAATCAACAGGGAAATCAGGTGCAAGGCATGATGGTGCAGTATCCAGCCATGTCGTCTTATCAGGTACTTCGGAGCCGTAAAGACTCTTTATCTCTCAGACTGCTTAGTTGAATTAATATTTTGTATTGCAGAACGGTATATATTACTTCATTAGGACAGTGTGTGGCAGGAGGCCTCCTGACAAATACATTTCTGTGTCAAATTGGTTTATTTGCTTCCGGTTTACTTATTCTTAGAACCCCTGATCTTCATTCTGAATTAGTAATACTTGAAGTGAAATATTTATTACAGCCTGTAGTGTGGGTAAAATGTCACAAAGGATGAAGGAATTACACTTCTTCTTGTGAAGAAAATTAAGCTAAAAAAGTAAAAGGACATTGTTTTGGGCTTTTTGTTGTTGTTGTAGGGGTTTTTTTGGAGTTGTGTTGTTGTTGTTGTTTGGGGATTTTTTTTTTGCCAGAGCCATGTTGTTTCCTGTAATGAAGTTGAGAGGTTTGTCTGATCCAGTTAAAAATTACTCATCTGTGAAGACTCCTGCCAAGTATCTCACCACAGCTTCTATGATAAGCTGCAGCCACATAGGTTTTTCTTTATTGGGTTTTGGGGAGAGGGAATGCAGTGGCTTGATTTTTACCAAGGCCATAAGTTACCCAGACTTATTTTCCCATTTGGTGCCTGGTTTCTATGAGATACGCCAAGAGCCTGTGAGAGGTGTCTTGTGCTTATATTTCCTCTGGTCCCTCTGAGAAGTTAAGAATCTAAATGACGTCTAAGTCATGTTAATAGATTTCACTGATTGAACAGCCATCCACCTTTTCCATTGGCTTCTCTGAAAACACTATAGCAACCCAAATGGAAACGAGGGAATTGCTTGTGGGTAAAAGCTTCCCCATACATCTTCAGAATTACTATACTGAAAATGTGTTTTAAAGTTTGATGATAAGGTTAAAAGTTTAGACGTTTTAGATGATCTAGATCTACCAGGGTTGAGTCTTCTGTTTGCACTAATCCCAGAAATCCATATTTAGCTTGATCATTACAGAGCCACATACCAGAGCTGAGAGCAGAGGGATTTCTCTTTCACCTTCCTCTAACAAAGGAAATCCTTAGGGACAAGAACAGTTCTGAGCAGCAGAAAACAACACGTTTTGACAGAACACATGCATATTCAAATCCAGTTAGAAGGCAGATAGGGAGACTTGGGACCTACTTCCATTTTGTTTTGACTAGTAATGACTAGGTTTTTTTCCTGCATCTTCCTGTTTTCCTACATAGGTGCCAATGACCCAGGGTTCTCAAGGATTGCCGCAACAATCATATCAACAACCGATCATGCTACCTAATCAATCAGGTCAAGGAACACTTACAGCCACTGGAATGCCTGTCTACTGTAATGTCATACCTCCTGCCCCACAGAACAACCTACGGTTGATTGCCCCACACTGCCCCTCCAATAACGTTCCGGTTATTTCTGCCAGCTGCAGGACAAACTGTGCGAGCATTAACAATGCGGGGTGGCAGGTCAAGTACTGACACTGTGGCTTAACGTGGATGTACAAGGATAGTGGTGCATTATTTGACAACTCATGGCCTTCAAATGAAGAGGAACACAACAGGATCATCAGTTGAGGACAGAAGTACTGAGTATGCTGAAGTGATTTGCTGCTGGAAAAATCTGTAAAAAAATTAAAAATAAAATTTTGAAAAAAAAAAAATGTTTGCTGGTTAATGGTGCATATTTTTGTCATGTCTGCTAGGTATGCCTTTATAGCTTAGCTAGTGACATGAATTCATTGAGGTAAGATTTTTTCCTACCACTGAACACCACTGTGTAGATTGTAATATCCCCGATTCGGATTAGTTTTGTACTTTGTGTTGAGTTTGTGAAGCTAAAAGTATTTAAAAATATAATAAAATCACATTGTACCAAAGCTGTAATGGAAATGAAAAAAAAAAAAAATCAACAAACTAAAATTAAAAAAAGAATTACTGAATGGAAGGAATAATTTATATACACTATAGAGTTTTTTATGGATATATACTGTATTGTAGTGCTTAATCACAATAAAGCTATTTGACCTCATGAAGAAAGGTCATGTTTCTACCACCTGCTTGGTCTCCTCTCTGTTTCTGAGTGAGTGAACTTCCCTTTGGTTCTGCACTGCCTTGTTTCAGGTGAAGCTAGTGGCTAGAAGGCTTACCCGTGTCTTAACATGTAGAATTACAACAGCTAAGACCACGTATGTGTGGTAGCATAGACACCCAGAAATCATCAAGGAATCACGTACCAGATGATTTTAAACTTAGCTTGTGCTTCTCCTATCCCTAGGACCAGTAATGTCACAAAAAGTTCACTACTTTTACAAGCCGCTACTAAGTCCTGCTGCTTCAAGAGACCCTACAACATTTGCGTATAAGAAGGCAGAGATGTCCCATGATGACCCATCCACTAGCTGGAAGATCAGTTGCTACCAATGTAGCAGTTACAGTACTCAGCAGTTCTTCTGCTACCTAGAGGTACTGTAGTCAATTACTGGTACTCCAGCTATAAAGTCATTTTGCAACAAAAAGATGATAATCCAAGAATCTGGTCCATCATGTTCAAGTACTGGAGATGAACAATATATTGGGGGTTTGACTCATAAAATGTGCAGCAGAGTGGTTTGCCAGAAATTTTTAGGACTTTTAAAAAAAAATCTTGTGGCTTTTCTCATTATTATGTCTATGTTCACTCAAATTCCCAGCTTGCTCTGATAACTATTCTTCATTCATAAATGCTGCTCGGAGTTCCTCATTCTGCTTCAATGATGGCAATACTTGAGTAACAAGTTTACCAGATAAAAGCCTGTGTTGTTCTTCACTTAAGTTGTGTTGGTTTTTTTTATGAGTTTTCGCAGAATCACAGAATCCTAGGGGTTGGAAGGGACCTCGAAAGATCATTCAGTCATTTTGAAGACCTTTAAAGTAGGCAGGAGTTAAGCAGCCCAGAATAATGCATATTCATCATGAAAAAGCCTGAGATCTTTCTGCACATAAAATCTGTATGTGTTATAGTACAATTTTAGTTACACCTGCGATGACAGAAGCCTACAAGGCCCTTGACCATTGTTAATCTGAATGTGAAACAGCTTGTATTTTTAAGACAGGTGGCCTCTACATACTTCAGCTGTGGAAGCAGCAACTGGAAGGGCTACAACACATTTTAAGAACAAACATTTTCTTTTCTATACAGTGAACAGGTATCTTTCAGAGTTCAGTCTGGTTTTGTTTTGTTTTGTTTTTCTTTTCACACGTGTGTCTTAAAGTGTGGAATTCAGTCCTATGGGAACTCTAGAAAGCCAAACACTGAATTTTCATAGTGTAATCACGATTCATTTGCTGAAGGTCAGTCAAGAGCATGAGCAGGTAAGTAAACACAATTCACTCTTCAATTAGAGGTGAAATACCTTGGGAGAGCTTACTGATTGATTTATATTTATTTTCCCTTTTTTACATTGAGATTTTGCATTTGAATTTTGCCTGTGACCCTTAGCTCTCATTTCAGAGGCCCTGCATTGTATAGCTCATTCCCTTTTAATGTTTTACAGGCTGTGGAGGTTTCTCTTCTAGCAGTACTATAATTACATATAATTGGGTTAGCTGCTGCTGAATGACTGGCAGCTGAATGGGTGGGTGTCCTTCTCTGTCAAGGCTCCAGAGCCCAGCAGGATGAACTTGCCAGGTGACCTTTTGCAGGACAGGTTGTGTGTATCCAAGTAGAATGAGAGGCAGGGTGGAGGTGAGGATGGTGAATCCCTGTGCACACAGTGTGTGTGAAGAGAGCCCTAGGTAATCTCTGTATCAAAGCCCTGTTTCTTCTGTTTTCTGAAGCATTACTGTTACCTTATTGATCCTCCCTCTCATCAGAGAACTATGAATGAATTGCCTGGTAAAAAAAACCCAGCTCTCAGCATCATAGATCAATGATGACCTGCAGGTGCTCTCAGTAGTGATGGAATGGAGTAAAAAAGCAAAACCTAGGAATCTTGCCTTTGTAAGGGGATAATCTCCTCATGCCTTTACACCTCTCTTGATCACATCCCCTTGGCCAACAGCATGTCCCATGACTGAGGATGGCCATGAGCTCCCATGATTTACCTACCTGTCTCTGCCAGTTCAGTGACCACATTGTGTAAAATGCAGCTGTGGGAGCAGGGATCTTGCTGACTGATTTATCTCAGCCTTGTGGCAGCAGCACCTACATGCTCATCAATGCACTTTCCTGCT